CAACTCTGCGTCCCAGGTCCAAAACGCACAGTTCATGCAGAACCCAACTCTGCGTCCCAGGTCTAAAAGGCAGAGTTCATCTCTGCGCATCGCGACCTGTGTGTTTTCAGCCTAAAACAGGCTCAACTCTGCGTTTCAGGTCTAAAACGCAGAGTTCGGGCCCAGAACGCTGTTTTCAGCGTTTGACTCGTTCAAGCACGATTTGAACAGTTCTAGAGCCGTTTTCTCCCCACGATTTGAGGGGATCACTACCCTATCATGGAGAGATTTATGAGGGGCAGTTACACCCTATTAAACCCTCATTAAGGAGAGATTTAAGGGAGCGGTTACACCCCTAAATCCCCTATAAATAGTGGGAAACTCAACTGAGTTTAGATCCCTCTTTTTGGCTGACTTTTTGGGGATCCTTGATCGGGCATCTTGGAGCTTTCTGCAGCAACAAAGTCCTTGGAGCATTCCTTGGCTGATTAACCAAACTTTTGGTTCAAATCAACTCTTTTTCAAGAGTTCAAACTCGTTCAGAGTTAAACTCGATCTGAGTTATCAACTCGTCCAGAGTTTCCAACTTGCTCTATAAGTTCTTCTAAACTCAATCAGAGTTTCAAACTTGCCACGCAAGTCCTCCACAACGTCAAATCGTGAGGAGAAGACCACGTTCCAGTGAATCAAGACGTTTGGATCGTCAACGGAGAGCAAACTCGACTCGAGCATTCAAGGGAGGCACTCCATCGCCACCGTGAAGAACCCAGAATTAAACAAATGGGAGAATCCAGATCATTCTTCTCTTTTTTGGAATCGGAATTCAAATTGTAATCGAGATTGAGAGAGTTGCAATCATTCTTTTTCTAAGCAGTTAGAGAGAATAAATCAAATACGATTCTTTCATTATTTCTTTTACATCGAATTTTTCCACAAACATGGGTATGTGATTTAGAGAACTTAGTGAGGAAGGCCATTTGCCATAAGGAGGAGTTGATATAAGATTGTTTATCCAAACCACTATAAAATTCTTTTGTGATCTGGCTGTAATTTGTTCCAAGTTTATTTGCTTTGGTCACGAAATGGGTCAGTTTTTTTAATAATTTGTTTTATTTTGGTTGCATATTATCTATGACATCAAAAACAGTAAGCAATCATATTCACCTCCTTCTAAGCTTGCATCTCAGATCCAACATAACCATTCCCCTAGATTTTGGATTTTTCAATACTCAAGGAAACTTTAATGAAGAAATTTTTCATTTAAACTCATTCCAATTTTTATTTTTAAAAACTAACCCACTCCCATTTTATTTACAAAAACCGACCTATTTCGTGACCACGCCAGCACCGTGGTCACGAAATGGGTCAGTTTTTTTAATCTAGCCACTAAATAGTTAGGGTTGCCAACCCCGACTATTTTGCATACCTCTGGTAATATACAGGTTAAACTAATCGGGGTTGAAAACCCCGACTACTTTAGCATAATGCATAATTGGTCAGGGTTGGGAACCCTGACCAATTCGAAAGCTCTTTAGAAATAGTCGGGGTTCCCAACCCTGACCATTTAGCAGAGACTTTTGTCCCCAACAAATGAGTCGAGCTGAAAATGGCTAAGGGACCAAATAATCAGGGTTGGCAACCCCGACTATTTAGCCCCTGGGCCCGACCCTTATAAAACCCCTAATCATTCTCCCCTCCTCCTCACCTCGTTCCCAGCCGCCCCAAAACACTCCCAACCCTCAAACTTTCTTCCCCAAACCTATATTTGTCACAAATCTTGGATTTCAACCGAATTTCATCGTGAAGCTTCTGAGTGGTAAGTTTACTACATTCTCTCCTCTTTTAACATGTAGAAAACTAGGGTTTTTTCTCAAAAACAAATTTCTAGGGTTTGAACTCTATTTGTAGTGGTTTATTTAGAAAAATTATTCTTGTTGTAGTTGAAATTAAACATTTAGAACATAGAATACTCAATTTTAGGGTTTAGAATTTGGGGGTTAATTTTAGGGTTTAGGATTTGGGGGTTTAGGGTTGTAATTAGGGTTTAGGGTTGTAATTGATAATATTTTTGATTTTTTTACATTTAAATGGTAATTTTCTTTTGTATAGGTTGAATAATATGATTTTTATTGCTTGCTCTTATGATAGAAAAATTAATTATGGAATGAATAATATGCCAACGTACATCGGAGGGGTGGCAACGCCATTAATGATCTCGGAATCATATAGTTATCTTGGCTTGGTTAATGAATTACATCGAGTTACGACAATTGACCCACAAGAGTACCGACTAAAAATAATATACAATTGACCCATAACTTTTGATAGAACGTCCGCAGTTGAGATCTCAAACAATCATCATATGAGTATTATGTTTAATTTGAGCAAATCACAACCAACGGTAGAATTATTTATTGAAAAGTTACCACATAATTCATGCCAAATATTCAACCCTCCAGGAGAATTCTCACGCATGTTAGATTTGGGAGTTGAGTCTAATGGTTTTCTTTCTTCTTCGAGTAAAAGGAGCAGACTCAATTTTAATATCATAGTGTTGCACCTTCATTCGGCGGAACGTCAAATGTCATGAACAATGAAGTCTTTTATGAAAATATGAGGCCGTTAAGAGGGGCAACAGTTGAAGAGAATGATTATATAAGTCAATGATTATATATGAAATCTAAGATTTTATTCTACTTTTATTTTTGCATACGTCATAGTACTGACACATTTATATCATCATATGTATAGGTATGGAGGCGGGTCCATTAACGTATGAGGTCCTTTATGACCAAGATCAACATCGATCCGCGAAGATAGACTCTGGAGAGGTAAATTACATTGGTAGTTGTAAATTATATTTTCAATCATATCAATTATTCTAAGTTATTGATGGTTACTAAACATTTGCATTGTTTAATGTATGCAGGCCCCGAGCATTACTATCAGTGATCATACTCGTGCACATTCGAGCTGGGACTTGACGGACCCACATGTCCAATTTTTTGTTCGTCAAGCAGGCTTCTTTGAGTGCTCACAAATTAAATGGGTGAGACTTGATTGGTCTCTCTTGACGGTACTGATTGAATGTTGGAGGCCCGAGACAAATACATTCCACCTGCGCCAAGGAGAGTTGACGATTACATTGCAGGATATTGGAGTTTTGCTTGGACTCAGAGTGGATGGAGATGTTGTCACAGGTAGTGATGACTTTAATTGGTAGGGAAGTGCGAAGAATTCCTGGGTCAAGTTTCTCACATGAAGGGTAGTAAGATCAAGCTTGAATGGTTGAGAAACAATTACATGAATGTACCGATCGATGCGACCGAAGAGATAACAAGATGTATGCCCTTGCATACATACTTCATATGATCGGTACCATTCTTTTTCCGGATTCCATGAAGGTTTCGGTGCACGTGAGGTGGTTGCCACTCCTGGAGGATCTTGAAGATTATGGAGAATTATCATGGGGGAGTGCCGTGTTAGCGTATCTGTATAAGGAGATGACCAAAGTGGCACTTGTTCAAAACAAAGAATTTAAGGGTTGTCTCACTCTACTACAGATATGCTCTTGGGAGAGATTGCATTTGGGTTGCTCAGATTTGAGGGAGACTCGTGCTCTCGATGGCCATATTCCGTTAGGCTGCAGGTATTACTAAGTTATTTGGTAATATATATGATTACATGCATTTTTTATACATTTATTTCAATCTATACTAACCCATTGTATATAAAATAGATGGAATGTGTCCAAATCTTGGCATACCTAACCAAAGGGCCATGAAAAATTCTATAGGAATGAGCTTGATCAAATGGAGAATGAACATGTATTAAATCATAATATCTAAATATATTCAATCATTATATTATTTATTACTGATATCTGCTTTACTTAATCTTTTTATAGGTCAAGTGGATGCCATATGAACTAGTTTTGGAGTCACTATCAGATATTTGCAGGGAAGGTCAGGATGTATGGCGTGCTTGCACCCCGATCATATGTTTTGAGATTGTCGAGATGCATGTGCCCGACAGTGTACTCCGATAATTTGGGCTACAACAACATATTCCGGTCTCTATGGAGAGAATAGAGTGAAATTCCAGAAAAGGTGCACATCATGCAAATTGGGAATATATTTGACATGCTTACATCGGGAGGTGGGATTTGAGGAAGGAACAGGTAGTGATGGAGAGGGCTGACGCACTTGATCTAGGTGTGTATTTCCGGTGGTATTGGGGGGTTACTCGTAGGTGTATATTTCAAGAGAACAAAGCCCCTAAGAAGTGCATACCAAGAGGCCCAGTTGAGAGAGATTTGCTAAGTGTATAAGCAAAATATAAAGTTGTTCACTCAAATCCGTAAGTGTACGGATATCGTTGTAGCGATGCAAGGTCGTATCCTCAGGGACTTCGTTATTAACTACTGATTTTCACTGTTTTGTGACTATCTAAACAGTATGATTTTTTATTATCAATAACGAACACGCTAGCTAGTATCAACGACGAATTCACTCAATTAAAAGGATCTAGGATTGAACTTCGGTTTCAACTCTGGTTCGAATCAATAAATTAATCAATTGTTATCGAATCTCTTAATGCATTAAGAACGACTAACCTATGGTAACTATTAGTCTCTTTCGACGACTAAAAATCATGCTTAATTCAGCCTAACAACCTATTTTCATGGTGTTAAACCAAATTAAACCCATTAGGTTCTTGTTAATCCCTCATGTTCTCAAGAATAATTAACCTACTTTCGTGATCAATTAATTCTTGTTCAATTACTATTTTCCGGCGTCAATCTAACCTTTCAGTTCAAATCAACATCCTAAAAGAATTAAATCAGTGGCCAATTGAATTAACCCTAGGCAATTAGATACTAGTAACTGAATAATGCAAATCGAACAATCAATAACAACAACAATCAGTTCATTAATTCATAACCATGGCCGAACCTAGTTCAATCCCAGATAAGACAATTACTCACACATAATTGAAATAGAAAACATGATAACAATATATAAGATCATAATCATAAACTAGAAATTAAGATAGATCGGAAAGATAAACCATAGTGTTGAAGTTGCACACAATTCTCCACAAACAGCAGGTTCCAAATCAAAAAAAAACCTAATCTAAGAGTTTTTAGAGAGAAGAAGAGAAGAAGAAGAAAGAAAAATCAAGATCTCCAGCCTTTGGTCTCTGGTCAGGTGCTTCAGGGCGTCTCCCTTTTAATTCTGGAAAAAACGTGTTGAAAGATAACTTCAAATATTGCACCAGATCGCATGATAACTAACTGCTGTCATCCAACACGGCTGTGCAGATCGACGCGACCAGGCCGTGTTTAATTCTGTTTCGCTCTGCTTTCTGGGCTTTTCTTCTGTAATCAACACGCCTGTGTTGTTGAACACTGGGTGACCGTGTAGCCACTTTCCTTGCATTCCTTGACTCCTTCTTGACTCTGAATCCGTGCTAAACTCCAGTAATTCCTACACAATATATAAATAGAGCAGTAAACAAGAACTAGGGAGCTTAACATGGCCAAAATGCAAGGAAATATATCAAATAACAATGAATCCGTAGGTGAAACATAGTCAAAATATAGATAATATTCATGTTTATCAACTCCCCCATGCTTGAATTATTGTTTGTCCTCAAGCAAAACAGATGGAAACACACACATGAGTGGTACAAATTCAAAGAAAATAGAAATTAAACACAAAGGTATCCACTATTCTCAAGTCCACATGCAACATTATTCCACTCAACCCAATGTCAAAATAGAAATATTGTTTCAAGTTCAAAGTTGAAGAAAATATATCTGTAGGCGTTCACGTACGTTAGTGCAAGTGACTCAACTCATAAACGTTGGAAAAAGAAATGGCATGACAAAGTTTTTTTTTATTACCTAAAACTCCCCGTGACAGACACATATCTCATCACAATGGGTCATACTCTTCCTACTTAAGGTCTCAAAGGAGCACTCGGTTTCCTTGCATTTTATTCAATTTTTTTTTCATTTTTTTGAAAATCCCGTCATAATTAACACCTACTGACGTGACAACCATATTTCTGAGGGTGCGGTGCCAGGTACTCGGTGCAACAGACTTTAGGATTTTTTTTTTATACAAGGCCAAGTGTTTCTCCAGTAACCAAAAAGTATTCCAAGTCACCAAAGAAGCTTAGGTTTTAATTAGATGGGTTGAGCCAAAATCCATTCCTATCTCTCCAATGTTTAGAGTTAAGTATCGACAAAGTGGAACTCGAACAGATAACATCCTAACCAACTGAACATGAAACAAAGATATTTTTTTAACAATGGGGCATGTGAAATAAATGATGTACGTGCTAAAAGATTTTGCTGAACAGTGGTACTCCTTTTTTTTAAGCTAAATGAAAAATCCCAACACAGAAAACAAGCACTCAAAAACACCAAAGCATACATGAAACATCATCCCAACAAACCCACTCCCCCATGCTTGAATTGCACATTGTCCCCAATGTGTAAATAACTGAAAAAAAAGAGAAAAGGGACTTACTGCTCATTGTGGTGGTGGAGGAGGTGGATAGCCATGAAGTAGTGACCATTGGTGCATATGTTGCTTCTGGTCATTCATTGTTCCAAGTGTATTGCCAAAATTGTCCAAGCGGGTGTCCATGATGAGAACAGATCTGGAAGTTTCAGATGTTAAATGAAAGAATTTGGTCTATGAATGTTGGCGTTGCTCTGGGCGTAATGACAAGGGCGGTGTCTTGGCGCTGGAGGCACGCCTGGCGATTTGGTGGTGTTGGATGTGATGAATGAGAGAGAGGCGGAAGTGTTGAGTGGTGGAATCAAAGTTGGGGAGGGAAGTGGTTTTGGGGAAGTTGTTAGTCGGCGATTTTGATGGTGAAGGATGAAAGAGGACGGTGGTTTAGGGTGGTGAAGGGAAGGGATGCGGCTGTTTGCTCGAAGAGGTGGGGTGGTTAGTCGGTGGTGGTTTGTAGGGGGGGTTAATGGGTTAGGTCAAAGAAGGTGGAAGGAGGGGGGGTCTAGAACGCAAAAGAAGGGGGTGTGGGGCAAAATGAGTCTAGAATTTTTTTTTCTTTGGCCACAGGTGTGGTGGATGCCTTTCCAGGGTGTGGTAGACTCTGGAAATGAGATGAAGACTGTCCCGACTGCTACACGGCTGTGTTGGTGGACACGGCCTAGCCGTGTAAACTGTGTATTCAATATTTTTTTTCTTCTGCCTCTTTAGCCTTGAACTCTCTATTACCTATTTTCCCTTTGTCATTCACCTACACACCAATTCACGACAACCTGATTACATGTCATGAAAACTAATAATTAAAACACTAAAAGGAAAAAATAAAATGAAAGAAAAACTTGGGTTGCCTCCCAAGAAGCGCTTGTTTATGGTCATGAGCTCGACCCCTTCAATGCTCACAATGATGATGAATCGGGAAGGGTAAAAGTACCCAACTTCTCGATCAGAGTTCCTGTGAAATAATGCTTTAATCGCTGTCCATTGACCTTGAAAGATCCCGTGGCTTCACTCCAAACTTCGACAGCCCCAAATGGGTATATCTTGCACACTTGGAATGGTCCAGACCACCTTGAACAAAGTTTGCCCGGAAAAAGCTTGAGTCGGGAATTAAGTAGAAGTATCAAGTCTCCTTCTGTAAACTCTTTACAGAGGATATGTTGATCATGCCACTTCATTGTTCTTTCTTTGTAAATCTTGGCATTCTCATACGCATCCAATCTCAATTCATCAAGTTTATTTGGTTGAAGCTTTCTCTGTTCCCCTGATTCTTTCAAATCTAAATGAATGCTCTTGATAGCCCAATGTGCTTTATGTTCCACTTCAACTGGTGGAGATGGACTGGTTCTAGACTTCTTCTGCTGCTTTTTGACATGACTGTGTCTACGGACACACCATGGCCGTGTGGAATCATTATTCAGCATCTTCCCAGGTGCAGTTTTCTCTTCACAAACCTGTTCTGGGCTGTTTCTGCTGCTTTTTGACACAGCTGTGTTTACAGACACAACCTGGTCATTCAGCCCCCTTGCAATTTCGACCACTATATCAAGTTCTTTGATGTAGGTGGTTTTGGTGTAGGTTGGCTTTTCATCAAGCATTGTAACATATGAAGTTATTTCCTGATCATCATCATCTGGTACCCCATTCTTTACTAAACATTTCTCAAGTGGATCACTTGAGATATCTCTGGTAAAATCTTCTCTAACCACCATGTCAATCGTGTCAATCCTGCAACAAGTATCATCAATTAGTGGAAACTTCATAGCAGAAAACAAATCAAAATTCATCTTTTCATCCCCTATATTGAGAGAGAGCTTTCCATTCTTCACATCAATTATCGCTCCAGCGGTAGCAAGGAAAGGTCTTCCCAATATAATAGGGATTTGAGAATCCTCCTCCATTTCAAGAATAACAAAATCAACTGGAATAAAGAATTTACCAACCTGGATGGGTACATCCTCTAATATACCTACCGGACATTTAACCGATCGATCCACCAATTAGAGGGAGGTAGTAGTAGGCTTCAAGTCTCCCATCCGTAACTTGTTACATATAGACAATGGCATAAGACTAACACTAGCACCGAGATCACATAGAGCATGATTAATTGACATATCACCAATTGTGCAAGGGATTAAAAATGAGCCAGGATCTTTAAGCTTAGGTGGTAGCTTATTTTGTATGATGTCACTACACTCTTGGGTCAAAGGATCTTTAAGCTTAGGTGGTAGCTTATTTTGTATGATGTCACTACACTCTTGGGTCAAGGCTACAGTCTCATATTCCTTGTCACTACACTCTTGGGTCAAGGCTACAGTCTCATATTCCTCTAATCGCCTCTTATTTGATAGAATCTACTTTAAGAATTTGGCATAGGAGGGCATTTGGGAGATGGCTTCAACAAATGGGATGTTAATATGCAATTTTTTTAATATTTCTATGAATTTCCCAAACTGTTTTTCCAACTTAGCTTTAACTTGCCTTTGAGGGAAGGGTAGTGGAGGCTTATAAGGTGCAGGTGCTACATATCTCTCAACTTTCTCACTATTGTACTCTTTCTCACTTGACACTAACTTCTCACTCTCATCAACCACATCCTTATGGTCAGTCCTCATCATTGGTCCCTCTAACTCTTTTCCACTCCTAAGTGTGATGGCATTGATAGATCCCTTTGGGTTAGTTTCAGGTTGCCCAGGAAACATCCCAGAAGGTCTGGAAGAAGAGCTAAATTGTTGGGCTACTTGAGTGATCTGATTCTCTAACATTTTATTATGGGTGGCTAAAGAGTCAACCTTAGAAGTTAGGTTTTTTATGGCATCTCTCATGATTTTATTCTGTTTTCTAAATTCTTCATTTTGTTTATTCTGGGATGACACAAAATTCTCCATTAAGCTCTCTAGGTTAGACTTTTGGGGACTAGGGTAGGGGAGTCTAGGGGTTTGAAAACCTGGAGGTCGAAAATTTGAGTGAGGAATCGGGTTCAGGGGTGGATTTGTATAGGATAAATTAGGATGATTTCTCCACCCCGGGTTGTATGTATTGGAAAAAGGGTCCCCTTTCTGATTAAAATTATTCATATAATTAACATGTTCAGATAATGGTGCATCAGGGGAAGGGGAGTTTCCAATCTGACATTCCACAGCAGAATGTCCAATGATACCACATATTTCACAGTTAGTAGAGTTAGATGCTACTGAATTCATGCTCATCTTGTCAAATTTTTGAAATAAAGCATCTACTCTAGAAGCAATGTGGTCTAATGCATCTACATCATACCTCCCGCTCTTTTTGGGTAAAGAGCGCTCACCTGACCACTGGAAATGATTCTGTGCCATATCCTCTATGAGTTGTTTTGCATCTCGTACACTTTTGTTCATCAATGCACCACCCGCTGCAGCATCCACGGTCATCCTTGTGTTGTAGAGAAGACCGTTGTAGAAAGTGTGAATTATGAGCCAATCCTCTAACCCGTGATGTGGACACATCCTTAGAAGATCCTTGTACCTCTCCCATGCATCATACAATGACTCCCCTTCTTTTTGAGTGAAGGTTGTTATCTGATTTCTCAATTAGGTTGTTTTGCTCGGAGGGAAGTACTTAGCAAGGAACGCTTCTGAGAGTTGGTCCCATGTAGTGATGGAGCCCGGTGGAAGTGATTGCAGCCAAGCACTTGCCTTGTCTCTTAGTGAGAAGGGAAACAACCTTAGCTTGATTGCATCACCTGACACTCCATTCATCTTCAATGTGTCATAATACTCTAGAAAGATTGAGATGTGGAGGTTTGGGTCTTTGGTTGGAGTGCCTCCAAATTGGTTTTGCTGAACCATGGAGAGGAGTGAAGGCTTGAGTTCAAATTGTTGGCAGCAACATTAGGCTTCAAGATGCTAGATTGGGAGCTATGCGTGGTTGGTGATACAAACTCCTTCAAGGATCGGTCTTTATTGCCTTGGTTTTCTTGATCTCCCATGGTGTTTTTGCTTTTCAAATTATCCTTTGTTTCTCGTGCCTTCTTCCTAATATGACGCAAGGTCCTTTCAATCTCGGGATCACACTCGATTGGTTCTCCAAGTCGTAAGGATCTGGGCATACAAGGGTGCCTGCACTAAGAAAAAAAATAAGTCAAACGAAAAGAGAGGAAAAATAAAAACAAAATAAATGAAAGAAAATGTCTAGTCTAGTCAAACAATGAAAAAGTCAATATTAACAATGCCGAAGTCCCCGGCAACGGCGCCAAAAACTTGTTCACTCAAATCCGCAAGTGCACGGATATCGTTGTAGCGATGCAAGGTCGTATCCTCAGGGACTTCGTTATTAACTACTGATTTTCACTGTTTTGTGACTATCTAAACCAATTGTGTTAAAAAGTATGATTTTTGATTATCAATAACGAACACGCTAGCTAGTATCAACGACGAATTCACTCAATTAAAAGGATCTAGAATTGAACTTCGGTTTTAACTCTAGTTCGAATCAATAAATTAATCAATTGTTATCGAATCTCTTAATGCATTAAGAATGACTAACCTATGATAACTATTAGTCTCTTTCGACGACTAAAAATCGTGCTTAATTCAGCCTAACAACCTATTTTCATGGTGTTAAACCAAATTAAAACCATTAAGTTCTTGTTAATCCCTCATGTTCTCAAGAATAATTAACCTACTTTCGTGATCAATTAATTCTTGTTCAATTACTATTTTCCGGCGTCAATCTAACCTTTCAATTCAAATTAACATCCTAAAAGAATTAAATCAGTGGCCAATTGAATTAACCCTAGGCAATTAGATACTAGTAACTGAATAATACAAATCGAACAATCAATAACAACAACAATCAGTTCATTAATTCATAACCATGGTCGAACCTAGTTCAATCCCAGATAAGACAATTACTCACACATAATTGAAATAGAAAACATGATAACAATATATAAGATCATAATCATAAACTAGAAATTGAGATAGATCGGAAAGATAAACCGTAGTGTTGAAGTTGCACACAATTCTCCACAAACAGCAGGTTCCAAATCAAAAGAAAACCTAATCTAAGATTTTTTTAGAGAGAAGAAGAGAAGAAGAAGAAAGAAAAATCAAGATCTCCAGCCTCTGGTCTCTGGTCAGGTGCTTCAGGGCGTTTCCCTTTTAATTCTGGAAAAAACGTGTTGAAAGATAACTTTAAATATTGCTCCAGATTGCATGATAACTGACTGTTGTCATCCAACACGGCTGTGCAGATCGACGCGACCAGGCCGTGTTTAATTCTGTTTTGCTCTGCTTTCTGGGCTTTTCTTCTGTAATCAACACGCATGTGTTGTTGAACACTGGGTGACCGTGTAGCCACTTTCCTTGCATTCCTTGACTCCTTCTTGACTCCGAATCTGCGCTAAACTCCAGTAATTCCTACACAATATATAAATAGAGCAGTAAACAAGAACTAGGGAGCTTAACATGGCTAAAATGCAAGGAAATACATCAAATAACAATGAATCCGTAGGTGAAACATAGTCAAAATATAGATAATATTCATGTTTATCAACAGTTATTTTGTGAGTTTTATTTTATTATCATCCACTTGATAATAATTTTCTTTCGGTTTTTATCTTATAGGTACAAGAGCTCGAAGAGCTTTCTACTATGGTTGTAACAACCGTAAATTTTGATACGTATTTAAATAAATTTTTCTAGTATTTAAAATATTATATTATATTTTATTAATAGTTTTCCTAATTTCTAGAATTTTTTGAGTTTTAAAATAAATAAATAATAAAATATATAGTCTTGTATTTATTAATTCTGCTAAATATTAATTTATGGTTTAATGATTTTATATATATAATCTTTTGGTAGCTAATATTATTAGTGACCTTGTTATTATTAATGTAAACCTGAGCTTAGTATATTAGTACATATGTAAATATATAAATATTTAGCTGTTAATTATTTATTAATGTTATTATATGGTTAATTATTATTATAATGATTTTTAAAATATTATGAATAAATAAATAAATAAATATATTCCCATAATCTTTTCCCCCTTAATTTTCTCTCATTTGAATTCCTACCATAATCCCCCTAATCAACTTCCAATCAATTCTCTAATCACCATTTAACTATTTCCTATTTTACTCCCGTATTTCTCTCCCTCTCACAATTTGACAGCTCAACCTCCTCCTCTTTATTTTTATTCCCTAAATGTACCTAACCCTAACCTACACTCCCTGTATAAATATCTTTTTCTCTTCTTTTCACGTGATCACCTAAGTCAGCCGCCTACCCTCTTCACCGTACTCTCTCTCTTCTCTCTCTTCTTTTTCTCTTCGACCGCACAACAACCCCAAGCCACCGAGCTTCGAACCCGACTGCCCTCACCACGCTCGTCCCCGCTCCGACGAACCTGACCGCCGCCCGACGCCTC